GAGTGGTTGTGCATTCGTCCGACAGTCGATCTCCGTCTACCTATTCTCCAATTCCTTCTGTACAGAACAAACTCTCTTCTACATGGCGTCTTCCTTCTTCTTTTCCTAAAAGGAACCGAGCCTGAAGGTCGCAGCTGCTAGCGTTAACCTTATTAACCTTAACTCCTCGATACTGCTGACTTGCAATATGAGATGAACTCGCAAATTCTAGATGTGGCTGACCTCAATCATCATTAAACTTCCTTCGACTTCAGCTGAATTTTCCTATGTCATCTTATATGACCACAATATGAGCGATATGGAGATGCTCAACCACTCACAGCCCACCGAGTCCACGTTATGATCCCTGCGCAATTCAGCAGAGCAGTCCCTCTATGAGTACCGGCACCCAGGTTTCCTTCCCAACATCAAATCTTACTTCTATTATCAATGGTATCTATCTTCCCCCAATTCAACCAGTACTGACATAGCACACCAACACTGCCTTACACACACACACTCTCTCTCGCAATCAACGCTAGCCCTAGCTTCACCAGTGATCACCGCTGCCTGAGAAAGCCATACAGGGTTCTGTGCACAATTCTGGCGCCCTCATTCTGGTGCCTTCAGTCTTTTCCAACAACCCGTGATTCGGCCTGATTTTGTAGCGCTCTGAGTACAAGCACCACCCAGACGCTACAGGCGTCCCGTCTTGTCGAAGTCACGCAATATAATGTGCTTACTGCTTAAATTGTAGTGCTTGTGGTCAGCCCACAGGCAGAAATGAATGGCATGCTGCAATAAAATCGAACAATGAATTTCCAATACTTCGCCGGTCATTGGCATTCCTTTTTTAATGTCTCAACTTCTTTTTAAGGCTTGACTAGCGAAGTTGACATACCTTCATGTTTTGGTTTGCAAGCTGTCTACTTTGCGCGTGAGGAAAAGCATATATTAGGCTTTGTTTAATTAACGTTTGCGATCATATAAAAGTTCATGATCGGAGACTTGTTTACACTCTTTCGGATTATCGCTCTTTAAGAACACGTGAGTTTCTAACAAATCAAACTTAAGATGAATGTAGAGACAATGTTAATAGAAAATCTGCACCCATTTGTCATTAATGTATGACAACCTCCCTAATAAAAAAACCATACTGGGGGAGCGCTATTTATCATAGATTATGTTGTGCTTATTGGAATGACTTTGTTCGCTGAGATTTCGGACAGCTGGGCCGGCTGTCAGCGTAAACTGACTTTGTCGAGCAGCAATTTAAAGTTGTGGCCGTACGTGTTGGCTATGGGCTTGTGGGATACGGAGTAGTCTGGCCAGATAATAGACGATAGAACATATCCCAACGGTTAGGAACTAGCTGATAATATAAGGCGTGGAAGGCCAAAGTGTTATAAATAATTTAAATAAGCGTAGCAGGAGTAGAATGTGTGTAGAAGGTAAGTGACACCCAAACAAGTGAAGTCCAGCCATGAACGGGCCGGAGTCCAGAGTCGCAGTCTGGCAAGTAGATCACCGGGTCCGGACGTCTGCAACCGACAGTAGGTTGCCGGTTCTGGGAGTCTGAGTGCAAGCAGTCATCACATATTAAGGTCCTTTTGTGAACTGGCCTTGGGAAGTAGTTGGCCAGTAAGGTCAGACAGAGGGTGACCTTGAACGGACGTTTTGACCGCCTATGGCGCGCATGGGCTGGTGGACATGAGGGCCAGACACGCGGAGCATGTGAGCAAAGCCTGGCTTAGAAATACGAGGCCGCTACAGACTGGTCTATTTTTCTCCGTCCGCTGTTTGACCCTCCGTGCGTATTTTGGCATAGCTTGACGGCAGTTAGTGTTGTGTTTTGTCCAAACAGTAGAGGATACTGATAATCCTGCCCCACCTTCCGGTGGTTTCGTCACAGAGCCATCTTCTTTTGCAAATCCTAGGTTCACTTTGACCTTGTCCTTTTCTTTACTCACGTAATGGCGTAGGATTTTGTAGGCCACAGGAAAGGCCAGATGCCTGTTGACAGTGTTGACTTCTGAGTACCATGCCTCAAGCGTCAGTATTTCCTTTTTTGAGGTTTCCCGGCCTACGATGGTCGCTTCTTGAATATCGAAGTTGTTTCCGGTTCCTCCGATATGTGTTGTAAGCTGCAAGTTTGGGCCTCGTCGCCGGGCCGCCTCTTCATGTTCGTGTAGGCGGGCCTGCAATTTGCGTACTATTTCTCCAACGTATTTGCAGCTTCCAACGTTGCAACGTATTTTGTAGGCCATTCCAATATGCCTGTGGTCTGGATAAGTAGAGTTGAATAATATTCATCTGCACAAACGTATTTTTGCGTGTAACACAGATTCGCATGGTTTGACTGTCCACGTCTATTGAGCGAAAGACATGTATTTCTTTTATCACAGGGGCGTAAGTAAGTTAAACTCTAGTAACTAGTGAAGGCAGGACGAGTCAGTGTAGTGCAGCTGCTTACAAGTTCCCAGGTGACGCTAGAGGGCCACTACACTTGTATGACCTCTGTCGGTCCGGAGTTCTCCCTTGCATCTATCTTTCAGTCACTGTTTACAGGCTACGCGCTTATAGGCTAGCCTACTGTCCTTTGACCTTATTTACTAAACTGAAATATTACATTTCCGTTTGCTGCCGTCCAACATAGGAGTAGCCTGCCTTGGGGGAGCTAAAAAGTCCCAACTATGGTTTGCGGCAACTGCCTGCTGAGCTTTGTGTACGCC